ATGAGAGTCCAAACAGCTGATAAAAACATCACAATAATCCACAAGTAATCCACAGCACTCCAGTCCATCAGTTAACATGTGGAGAAGACAAAAGCTGAAACTAATCCAGCATTAAGACGTTTTTAACTAAAATACCATAGAGTCCATAATCCATAATAACTCTTCCTCCAGTGAGCTGATGATCTGAATCTGGAGTGTTTGATTACGAAGACGTGGAAAGCATACAGTTTTGGGGGAACCTCTGCATGACGGCTCAAAACCGCTGGAAACATCCTGAATCTGTTCAATCCACACCAGAAACTCAATCTACACACAATCAGTCCCTTTAAGCAAATGAAGCCACTGCTGTCAATTAGTCGTTTACTCACCTTCGTGTCGTTTCAATCATCTTCACACACCTCATGATGAACAGTCAACAACACCATTATAAACCTACTGTATCATATTTCTAACATTTACTATGTAACCTTGTCTCTGATTGATAGTTTAGAGTGTTTTATCCAGTCAGCTCTTTTAGTGTAATTGTACAAACGTCCAGCTTCAGCTGGAGCTTCTCGTGTCAAATCTTGACTTGATTTTTATCAAGTAAGCGTCAGAATAACTGCAGTAATATCTCCAGATGAACACTTACTGGACTGAAGCAGCTCAGCTTTACTTGATTCTCCGTCAATCATGTTTTAGAGTCTCAAATCTGATACTCAGGATCTTTTGAGGAGAGTTTGTTTGCAGAAGCTTTACTTTCACTGTTCCTCAGCGGAGGAATGATCTTCACAAGCCTCCAGAACATCTCACATCTTCTGAGGAGCCTTTATTTCTTCAGCTCTCAATCACTGCATTATATGTTTGGAGCATTTCAGTCTCATCTTATTATTACTGGAGATATAGAGCCACAACTGATATTTATAGCATTTTATGTCAGTACCTGCTGCACTGTTATAAAGATCTCACTGATTTACATTTCATCTCACTTTTTGGCAGGGTAGAAAATAATAATTCATATTTTAAAATGGGGAGATAGTTTTGAGTTCTGAAACTTGCAGTATGTTTTTATTGTAGAGAAAACACGTTTATGTGTAAATATGAAGAACAGTTTGATTCTGTTTCATGATCCCTTTAAATGGGAGGCTGTAATAACACACACACTCACACACACACACACCCACCCACACACAGAGACACACACACAGAGACACACACACACAGTCACACACACTCACACTCACACAAACACAAGACTCACACACACACACACACACACACACACACACCCACT